TATACTGTATGTTAGTGAGAAAGAGTAAGGTCTTGAAAAACGTGAAGAGTCAGAAGGATGATGTAGTATTCTTTTTGGCTGCCAACACACTTTCACATGTACGTGTCCTAGTTTATTTTGGAGCAAGTAAAACCAAAGCTCTGTGACAAAGCAGTCTGAAAGCTCGAGACCTTCAGTGTGGACTTGATCTAAACTTCAGCAAACGTTTGTCTGGTTGTTTTGATTCATGTTGTGGTAGAGCTGTGGGATTGTGACATTACTGTGGATTTGGGGGCAGACTTCAAGATTAGTTATTGTATTTTCTAGAATTAAAAAAAAAAGAGAGTGGTTATTGGTATGCTAAAATACCTTAAATATTCTGGACAGACTGCTTTGACCTAACAAAGCTCTGAGGGTAATACCAGAGCCACAGCAGTACACATGCTTATGGCACATAAGGCCAAACAGCGACATTTCACAATTCCACACACTCCTCCTAATCTTTCCTGTCATCTTTCTGTAATAAAAGGCATCAACCTTTCTTGGCAAAAGTTAAAATTAGGTTCTTTGACATCTCCATTTCCTACAATCTTGGATAAAGCTTATGGCGATGAAGGCAGACAGATACTTTCTATCTAAACCAGTCAGGTTTAGGTTTGCAAGGTTATACTAGGTACAGTATGAGCACCCTCTGGAGGAACAGACCATAAGAATAAAACCAAACCAGTTCATGCCATATGCACCTGTAGCTACTGTATAAAAAGATATTGCAGATTGTTTGACCCTTATCCATCCTATTGTTTTAAATGCTAATTCATTCATATATTTACATTACATATGTCTGTCTTTTGTAACTGCACTGTGTATAGTGCTTGAGTGAGCTTGTTTGATGTTACTGCATGTTTTGACATGACATTCATTGTGAGATGTTTCATTTGACTATAAGCACTGCTTGGGTTCAAGCTGCCAATAGCTATAAATATAATTTCTCATCTTTTTGAAGCCAGTAGGCTACTGTGGACTGACCACTAGATGATGCTGTTTGTTTAGACATCTTCGTACGCAGTGTTGGGGAAAGTTACTTTTAAAAGTAATGCATTACAA